CAAGGTGGGGTGATATGACTGTTGTGGATTTTGAGGGACTTAAACTGGATCTTCAGGTGAAAGGGGACCCAGTCAGGCAGGGGAAGGAGGGAGTAGATTACAGTGGAGAGAATGGTAAACAAGACATGATGATAGAAGGAGTCAGGAGGATAGGTGCAGCCATCTTAAAAGGGCCCTGAACACTTGGGTAGGGGGTTTGGATTTAATTCTGTAGCCAAGAGGGAAATGAGAAGAGTAGCATAATCAGAACTATGCCTTAGGATGAATTATGTAGAAGAATAAATTAAAATAAATGGGAAGAACAAGGGATACCACAAAACTTGCAGTCAGTCCAAAGTGAGGTAGAAAGGGGCTACACGGGATTATGGTAGAGGAGATGAAAAGGAAGGGATGTTTTGAAGGAAGAATTAGCTGATTGATTTGATAGGAAGGGTGGAACAGAGTGAGTAATCAATACTGATATCCTTCACATCATCAAATGTCAGTGACTGGGAAAATAATGTACCATGGATAGAAATAGAGATGTAATACCTGAAAGGCAAGCTAGTTGGTGTAGGGGGAAGATGATCTCAGTATTTTAAGTTTAAAGTGCTTTCCAAATATTCTTTTGATAGTGAGAACATGGGCTGAAACTCAAGACAAAAGTCAGTGCTATAGATAATAGTATGGGACAGGTCATCTAACACTGAATACGGATGTGTTTTCTGAAGACCAAGACCAAAAAGAGCAGAAGGCCAAAGATTGGACCTTAAGGAAATCCATACTTAGGAAGTTTAAGAAGAGAAGTAGACCAAAAAAAAGTCAGTGGGGTAGAAACGCCTGGAGGGCTTTTTGTTGTTTGTTGTTTTTGTTTTGAGGTGTTTTTGTTGTTGTTGTTGTTGTTGTTTTTAAGTAGGCTCCACACCCAGCATGGAGCCCATCACTGGGCTTGAACTCACGACCCTGAGATCAAGAACTGTGCTGAGATCAAGAGTCAGATGCTTAACCGACTGAGCCACCCAGGCGCCCCAAAACCTGGAGTTTTAATAAAGCCTAGGAAAGAGAGAGTTCCAAAAGGGAGGAGGCAACAGTGAGCTGTGTGCTTTGGAAGGCCAAGAGCATGACAAAAGGCCAGTGGATTTTACCACTGGGGACCACTGGGTCCTTCGCACTTCAGCCTCTTTGTGAGTGTAGTGCCCATCACAAGTGAGGTAAAAGCTGAACCCCTTAGCACAGCTCACACAGGTTTCCACAAAACCTGGCCTCCACCCGCCTCTCCTTGCTCCTCACTCCTCACCAACAACATGGCTTTCTTGTTCCTCAGACACTCCCAGCATGTGACTTCTTCCTCTGCACTTGCTCTCTTTCTCTCTGTAGCCATCTCTGCCTTGTCCCGCCCTCGTGTGGCTCACAGGCCTTCTCCTGCATGCTGCTCAGATTTATCTTCCACAGAAAGCCCTTCCTTATGTGAAAAGCCACTACCATACCCCTTTGTTATTCTCTACCCCCTTACCATGATTTCTTTTTCTTCAGAACTGTATTGATGATTTCCTAGGGCTGCTATCACATTTTACCACAAATTGGGCAGCTTACAACAACAGAAATTTATTCTCTCACAGTTCTGGAGGCCCAAAGTCTGAAATCAAGGTGTGGGCAGGGTTTGTTCTTTCTGGAGGCTCTAAGGAAAAATTTGCTCCCTGCCTCTCCTAGCTTTAGTGCATCCTGGCACTGTCTGCCATTCCTGGCTTTTAACTGCAGCATTCCAATCTCTGCCTTCATCTTCACATGGTGTTTTCCCTCTGTGCGTGTCTCTCTTCTCGAATTTCCCTCTTAGAAGGACACCTGTCATTGGAAGAGGGCTTGACCTCATCTTAATGTGATTGCATCTGCAAAGACTTTATTTCCAATTAAGGAAGGTCACATTCACAGGTACTGGGGATTAGGAGTTCCAGCATATTTGGTGGGGGTAAGGGGGGTATAATTCAACCCACAACAAGAATACATACATTATGTTACACACTTATTTGTTTACATGTTTGTGTTCTTTCAGCTGCTGAAATACAAGCTCTTAGGACAGGGACAAGGTTTTATTCAAAGCTTTCTGGGTCCTGCCACAGTGCCTGGAATGCTCAATATTGGTTGAATGAATGACTCCGTGAAATTCGTCTATAGGAAGTAGAAGAAGATTTGGATAACGAGAAAATGGGGGATGTTGGTTTAAAAAAAGCCTGTCGGGCGCCTGGGTGGCTCAGTCATTAAGTGGCTGCCTTCGGCTTAGGTCATGATCTAAGGGTCCTGGGATTGAGCCCTGCATCGGGCTCTCTGCTCCATGGGAAGCCTGCTTCTCCCACTCCCCCTGCTTGTGTTCCGTCTCTCACTGTCTCTCTCTCTCTCTCTCTCTGTCAAATAAATAAATAAAATCTTAAAAAAAAAAAAAAAAGCCTGTCATTCAAGAAGTTTGGGAGGGTGAAAAAAGAACAAGGGAGTGGTTGACTCAAAGAATTCCAAAGATTGAGGCTTAGGCCTCACTTGTGAGCCATGTTCCCCATGAGACAGTTACTGGAGTCCAAGAAATACTTCTCAGCTCTGCAAGAGAAGAAAATGAATTTGTCAATTTCTCTAGGTATGGGACTACTGACTCATAATAACCAAACTAAAAAGAGATGAATCTGTAGACCAGAATGCCGTGTAATCATTAAGGGTGGCTCAGGAGCTAGGATTGATTTTTCTGCCAAGGGCAGTATATTCACTAATGATATCAATTTATACACCCAGAGGTGCTTGGTAAATATGGAAGTTTAGAGGCAGTAGAGTTTGATATTTCTCAAGGGATATTCCATCAAGCAATGGTAGCTGATATACTCTCTTTTTAGGGTGAGTTTTCCCAACTGTTTCTTAGAGCCCGCCTCCAAATATTCTGGTGTAGGTTTGAATACTTGAGGATCACATGAGATTCGGTATATTTAACAAGTTTTCCAGGTAATTCTCATGATCAGGCATTTTGGGAAATGTTACCTGGAATTGTTCTTAATTTTAGTTAGTAGCAAATCCCAGATTAGAATTAATCCCAGTGGTCTCAACCATGCCTACTGGGCTCCCACAATTCATTTCTTAGAGTGTAGGCGTGTCTTTCTGCTCAGCAGTTTTCATACTTGGGAAACTTACTTTGTGTGCAAGCATATGCTTGAGTGACTCAGCAAATAAAACACAGCCATTTGGATATTCTCCCTCTCTTTTATGGTGGACAGATGGAATGAGCTTGATTATTAAAATAAGTACCTTTCCTATATAACTTGTGCTTCATTGTAACTAAATAGTGAATGAGGGGAATTGATTCCTGATAGAATTCCAATTAGTAGATATAGAAAGAATAGAATTACAGTCCATAATGGAATAATGAATCTAGACTACAATCATCAATGGCTACTAAAATCATTAGGTAGAAACTGATGGGGAAGTTTATACTAGATGAAACAGACTGATAGCACCTGACCCACTGACCAGAGAACATCACCGAGAGAGACTTCATGTGCATCCTCATGTGATGCAGTAGGAAAAACAGAGCATCTCTTTTAAGTGTTCTTCAAAAAATTTAACTCAAATTTGAGTACACCTCTACTTAGAAAATACAGGGACTAGAGGAATGCATTAAACCACATTCTCATGGATTCAGTTCCTCAGATTTAGAAATGGGAGAATGTACAGCCTTGCTACTTTCAAACTGTGGACTGCACACCAGCTGCATTGATATCCCCAGAGAGCTTATTAGAAATGCAGATTCTCGACCAAATGAAAGACTGCATTTTAACAAGATTCCTAGGTAATTCTCATGTGCCTTAAATTTGGAGAAGCGTTGTCCAGGAAATGACCTCATGTTTTCAAATAATGGTAAGGAAAGAAAGAAAGGGGAACTGTTGAGTGATATGGGAGGATATATCACTGCTTTGTTAGGCTTGCAGGATTGAAGGATACACCGTATTATCAATGGGAAAAGAGATTTAGAGGATGTGTGTTAAATCATCACGGCAGTCAAATGCAGACTTGTAATGAAAGAGCCTTGGTGTAGGGATCCCTGTTAATATTCTGCCAGCAGTTCTCACACTATAGTATAATCATGTTTCAGACAATTCAGAAATTCAGTGCAGAACTTGAGTAGGTGACATCACTGTTGTCCCCAAAGTTGAAAAGAGGACAGGTTTATCGTACCTTTAACTATTTCAGATGCTTTTCTCTGAACTTTAACAATTTTGTTTTTGCTTGGACATACTTCAGAGTCTTACTGAGCCCGTTCCCATTTCTAAAAGGACATTGGATTAGATCTCAAGGATTCTTTCCAACACTCAAATTCTAGGATAAATAATTCATTTAAAAATCTCAAGTGTTGGGGCGCCTGGGTGGCTCAGTTGGTTAAGCAACTGCCTTCGGCTCAGGTCATGATCCTGGAGTCCCTGGATCGAGTCCCGCATCGGGCTCCCTGCTCGGCAGGGAGTCTGCTTCTCCCTCTGACCTTCCTCCCTCTCGTGCTCTCTGTCTCTCATTCTCTCTCTCTCAAATAAATAAAAAAAAAAAAAATCTTAAAAATCTCAAGTGTATATGACTAATGATATTGTACGTGACTAATGATAGTCTTCAAGTTGAATGAAAAAGCAAGGCAGCCCTCTTCCTCAGCCAGACCTTTCCTTGTCCACACTTTTCACAAATGTCCAAGATCTTGAGGCCAGATCACAGAGGGGTGGAGAGAAGTGCGTCAGCTGGCTGTGCAGTGGTCCGGGTGGCATCTTAGAGGAGACCCAGGGTCAGCTGTTCACCCAAGGCCGAGATGAGATAGTTGAGGCCATCCTCTTATCACCCCTAGGCATGACTAGGTGTGAGGGGTCCAGAAATCAGTCTATCATGTGGTTCTTTCTTTACAAGTTGGACTTTCCAGAAGTATTTTAAATTGGCCATGCTACTTAACGGGCAGAGTTTTATATTTTGCTTTAAAATTATGTTGGTTTCCTTTTTTACATGATGTCTTTCAGAATTTGCCCACTTTTCTGGTATAACTAATTCTGATGGCTGGGAGTAAAGGACGCGGACGTGCAGCTTACACCTTTAATATTGAGGCAGTTGGATTTGGCAGAGGTGAAAAGTTACCTGATGTAGTATTGAAACCCCCTCCACTATTTCCCGTAAGTACAGTAAAAGTGGATTTCTCACGGTTTGTTTTTTCATGTTTCAAAGAAAATTAAAATTCTATATAGGACTGAATAGAGGATATCATTATAAAATCTTAAATGTAAGAAAGTAAAAGAGGGTGTGCTTCGCTGCTGTGTGCTTCCCTGAACCTCTTTCTGATCTTTAACACTGCTTTCCTAAAAGACAGAAAAAACTGTAGTCACCTTTCCTTGAATATACTCAGTACTATGTGAACTAAGAAAGAATTTTTTTTCAATTCCTGCACCTTCTGTTGTGTTTTTGATGTATTCCAACATCAAAATAATATTTTTGAAAGTCAGGTCAGATTTTACAGTGGTCCCCAATGGTCCTCACTCTACCAGACTTTCACTTAATGATTTTCCTCTCATCTTGTATCTATAGGATTTGATTTTGCTCCCTAGTATACCATTTGGTCTTTTAGTCCCTACTCAACTTCTTTTTTTTTTTTGCTTATTTCTCTATTTTTAAAAAAGTCAATTTGAATTTTGTTGATGTTTCTCAACATCTAAGTGTTCCTACTACATTTAGTGTTGCTTTTAAATTTAATGAGTATGCTGTAAACTCAACTGGCATAATATTGAATGCTTTCACTTTACATTTAGTTTAAAATCTAAGCTTACATTTCCAGGTGTGTATGTGCTACGATATAAAAAAATGAAAAAATCGTAAATAACCACATACCCCTTAATCTAGGAATCTTTCCTCTATTTCAAAAGGGAAAAGTCCCTTGTCAAAAGATTTATGTAAGTAGAGGACCCTGAACAAATGTATCTAGGGATCTAGGTGTCTTCCACAGGGAGTCTCTACTTTTTGCTCTTGGTATTTTGCCTTTTTGATATTTAGTAAATAGCCTGAAACAACAATACACATCTCATGTATAGGCATAATGTCACTTTATACATTGATTTCTTTTAAAACAAGCTCTTCTCCATGTGTGAGGATACTTCTAAACACTGGGAATATTAGGACATGTTGTCTTATACTTGGAATAAAATTGTAATTCCTTACTGCTGGCAAACTGGCTCTATTTGATAGGGTCTTGCTGATGTCTGTCTAACTTTTCCTGTCACTGACCTTCTCTCTCCTTAGCCATCATGGCCTCCTTGTTCTCACAGACGTTTTCCTGTGTTGGTTTCCCTGGCTGGAGCCATCTGTTTTCAAGTCTTTCCATGATGGCTTCCTAATTTTATCCAGAGCTCTGCTCAAATGTGACTTCCTTAGAGGTCACGTGTGCTCACCCTTGTCTAGACCAATACCTCCAGCCTCCATGTACTCTGTCCATCACTCTTTCCTCTGCCCAGCTTCATTTTCATGCCACTTATCACTACCTGAAATTGTGTATTTCCTCGTTGTTTACTTACATCTTGTGTTTTTCTCCCCTAGAATGTAGGTTCCATAAGGGCAGGAAGTTTGATTAGTTCATCATGGTGTCTCTTGTTCTCTAACCGTGTCTGGCTTATAGTAAGCACTTAATAAATAGTTGTAGAATGAATGAACAAATTCAGAGTGAAATTCTGAAAATGTACCCTATACTTTGCTCTGATACTAGAAATGTCTTTTTTTTAAGAAATGTCTTTACAACATAACCTGAGGTCCCACTTTTTAATAAATACATATATTTTATGAATATATATACATAATATACATATGTGTGCATGTGTGTAGTTCGTTAAAATTGAAGACGTCAAGAGGCACCTGAGTGGCTCAGTTGGTTGGGCATTCAGCTCCTCATTTCGGCTCAGGTCATGATCTCAGGCTCTTGGGATTAAGCGCTGGGTCAGGCTCAGCACTGAGTGTGGAGCCTGCTTGGGGTTCTCTCTCCTTTTCCCTCTGTGCCCCACCCCCCACCACACACACATGCACATGCACACTCTCTCTCTGTCTAAAAAAAAAAAAAAAATTGAAGATGCAGGTTCAAACTCCTGCTTTGTCATTTACATGTCGTGTGAGTTTATAGATTGTTCACTTGTCAGTTTATTTACTGTCAAAGGGAAAATATTGATGATAGTTTAAATGGGATCATGGATGTTGAATATTGAGGACATCTGGGTCAGAGTAACCACTTGCTAAATAATAGCTGCTATTTCTATTCTTTTTTTTTTTAGCTATTGCTCCCACTAATACCACCACTACTAACTGAGGTTAATAAGAAACCAAAGCAGTTGGGGCGCCTGGGTGGCTCAGTCGTTAAGCGTCTGCCTTCGGCTCAGGTCATGATCC